TGAGACCAAGTTCCTGTAGGTCTCTAACATCACATCTCTGTACAAGTCCTTCTGAGCAGAATCCAGACTCTCCCACTCCTGCTGAGAGAAGTCTATGGCCACATCCCCGAAGGTCACTGATCCCTGAAACCGCAAACACACGTATTTCTGGTGAAATTAAAAAAAAAAATGTTTTCAAGGTGAAAGGAGAGGGAATAAAAAGTTTCAATGTAGGAAGGGAGCAATAATATAGCAGCCCAGTGGGCTGGAAGCTTATGATATGGGAAGTGAATAAAGCATAGTATTCGCATATTCTAGAAGAATCCTGTTGCTATGGGCAAAATTTTCTATATGTTGTGGGATACCACAATTCTCCAGACCTGGGGGAAATGGATAAAATGATCTAAGTTTCCCTATTAACTAACATAGCATATACAGAGACACTGCCTGCTACGTATCCAACTAATAAATTCTCAAGAACTACTAGTTTCTACATTGTTTTCCTTTTAAGAGAAAAAAAAGTTATGGATTTTTTTCTCCAAGTATAGAATAAAATCTGTTTTAAAAAACAGGTATTACAAAAATGTGTTAAATAACTCCTCAAGCTTCAAGATCACTATGTCAGATCATAAGTATTTTTCCTTGTATTGATAAAAAATTTTTCCATAGTGGCATAATCACAGCCCTTCAGCAAAGATTTACCAAGTCGCACCTGCTCAGTAATTTGCTCAATGAATTCATGAACACTGATTATAAAAGAGGATCTCACAAGGAGGGAACAGTTATTTGGCATCATTCCTCCACAGAGGAAGAATCAAGAAGTAGATAATTAGATGGTGCTCTCTTAGGCAGAATGCTTCAGGTTAATTAAGGAAAATACCCATGTAATTTAAAAATCCCAATATTTCAAGAGGAAACACCAACTTACGTGGGCCATCCTTGTAGAAAGTAAGAACTGATCAGTCTTCTTTGGGGCTCCTCTACCAGAGAAGTTCAAACTCTAGAATATCCAGAGCTGAGAGGAAAAGGAGGCTTTAGTTTTCCCAATGACATAAATTAATAAACTTTCCTGTCCTTCCATGTCAGCTTCCAAACTATGATACAACCACCTTCAAACAAAATTTTGGGGAACAACAGAGTAATTCAAACCCTAGGGACCCAGGCTGTGCACGATTGGGTGCAGAGCAGTGGCACCTCTTAAGGACAGCAGAATCAGACTCTTCAGCAGGAGGTTTTCCAGCCAGGCTCATTTTGGGAATGCTGCTCTGGATGTAAGACTGGGCTGCATAGTCCTCTTTTGAACAGATTCTCCTCAATCCATTTCTACATTCTAACACTGAAAAATGATCCACATCACCCAAACCAGAAATTCTTTCATGGCAGCAGGGCAAGCGTGAGGTTAGTCAAGACATGAGAGGTAGAGACTACGGAAGAAATTGATCAGGCGGTTGCTAACGTGGCTCCGTTTTCTAATCATTAAAATAGGGGTAAGAATATCAGCTCCTACATACGGTTGTCTTGAAGAGTAAGAAAACCCACACAAAATACTTAATAGAATCTTTGCTAAACACGAGTTAGCTCTTATTACAGTAGTTCCCCTTATCTGCAGGGGGATATGTTCCAAGATCCCAGGTGGGCCTGCAGTACCAGCTGCTAGGGAGGCTAAGGTGGGAGGATCGCTTAAGCCCAGGGGTTTGAGGATGCAGTGAGCTATGATCCGTGCCACTGCACTCCAGCTTGGATGACAGTGAGACACGATCTCTAAAAAAATAAATAAAAATAAATTTTAAAAAAAGATCCCCAGTGGATGCATGACCAAACCCTCTATATGTTTTTTCCTATATATACATACCTATGATAAAGTTTAATGTATAAATTAGGTACAGTAAGAGATGAACAACAATTATAAAATAGAACAATTATAACAATATACTGTAATAAAAGCTATGTGAATGTGGTCTCTCTCTCTCTCAAAATATCTTATTGTACTGTATCCAAATATTTTCACACCAGGGTGGACTGAGGGTAACTAAAACCTCAGAAAGCGAAAACATGCGTAAGGGGGACTCCTGTATTGAAGTTATTATGTGAAGAACATTATATGGCCTTTATTTTTTAAAAAGAAACAGTTTCCACTTTTTATTTACAACATGCATGCTTTTAATTCTAACTAAAAAATTTATAGCCTTGCCCAAAGAATGCAACTCTTCTTTTTAAAAAATACCAGAAAAGATTTTCTGACATTTAAATCTCCTGTCCCCTACCAGCTAGAGAGAGCATCACCATTCTGCCATAATGCAAAATTAAGAATATTAGCAAAGGGCTGATTTCTGTTCTTTCTGTGCAATAAGGAGATTGATGAAAATGTTTATAACTAATATCATCTTATTCTCTTTTCTTATATTGTCACTAGGAAAGTAATTTGCACAACAGATCCTTGGAACTCCTTTTTCTTGCATTGATAATTTTTAGATGACATTGCTGTAATCCTTAAAGAGGGTAAATACAAGGTTTTTTTCAAAAGAAGAGGCTTACTGGTACTCCCTTTTCTTCCTGCTGCATGCAGAGAGTATGACGTCCACAGCTTCCTTTATTAAACTAAGAATGGAAGAGTCTTTTACTCCTTTACATAATCAACTAGTGTGATTCTATCCTGCATATGCAAAACAGAACCCTACCCTCATGCAAACAAAAAAAAGGGGCAGTGCACACCAAAATATTAATAACCCGGGCTTACACGGAGGCCACGCACCAGGTCTTCGCGGGCGCACACCGGCCCTGTCACACGCACAGTCGCCCTCCCTCCTCACGTCACTGCCGCACAGCCAGGCCTGGGACCCTCGTCCACGCCCACGCTCACCGCCCGTCAGAGTCGGGGTTCCGCGCCCGCCCGCGTCTGCACAGAGGCTCCCCTACTCCCTGCACTAATTCTTTTCCTTCGCAGAAACCCAAGTTAACCCCCGGGGCTGCTCCGAGTCTGCGGCGCTCTCCCTCAGAGGCCGGGCACAGACTTTTCTCTTACTGAAGCCCAAAGCCCGCTGCTGACCCAACAATCACAAACACTAGAAAGGAGGAAGGGGTCCAGCTTGCCTCGGTGGCCTCTGGGAAATGTAGTTCAGGCCTGCTCGCAGTCGCCTGTGGGAAATGTAGTCCAGAGCCGTAAAACGGTAGAACACGCGCGGCCCCGCCCACAAGGACCGCCTACCCCGCGCCCGGAGACTTCTGGGCGTTCCCGTTGGAACTAGGGGTGCGCAGGCGCAGATGCTCGCAGAGCCCGTAACGTGATCTGATGGTGCTGACCTTGGTGCTGTGAGCGTTTGAGCGGCCAGTCGTGGCCCGATGGGACACCTAAAGCCCGAAGTAGGTGACCACCTTTTTAGAGAGCCAACCCAGTACACTCGCTGCCACACCAGACCAGACAGAACCGTGATAGTATATACTAAAATGTGTTATTACTTTAACACAAAAATATGAAAAATAGGTGTTTGAAATTACCTTGCTGTAGTGTTTACTCTTCTGTTACAGAAATGCTATTATTTAATAGAACGTTAATAGGACTAATTAATAGTGACAATTAGTAATAATAACAGTAAGACTAAACACATCTGTGGGAAAAATGTTTCTGTCCTCTGATACGGCGATTTCTTCTAACTTTGTATTAGATATTTAAGTTTTGTAGACTCTAACAAGTTACAACGACCCCAAAGCTGCCAGACCTATGAGGGCTGCAGATCCCACAAATACAAATGGGTATGGATTGGTTTTGGCAAAAAGTGGGTAATAGTCCTCAGTGTTGTACCTACTAGTGGTGGCTCCAGAGCAAGAACGAGTGGCTGAGGAGGAGACTTCTGCTCAGATGGCAACGAGGAGAGTCAGTCTGCAGCCGGGATGAAAGCTCTTAACTGTCCTGAGTGGAGGAACGTCCTGGAGTTCCCAGCAGACGGCACCGGCTTCATTTGAGTCCTGCCTGGGCAGGCGGAAGGACCCCAGGGGGGAGAGCAGCGCCTGCAGGATCAGGTACTGCCTGCTAGAGGCGAGGTCCAATCTCGGGGTAAGGGCGGAGCTGTAAACAGCTGGCGAGGAGAGGTGCGGCGACAGCGAGGCGATCCAGACCAAACGGGGTAAGGGCGGCGGGTACGAAGCTTGCCGAGGAAGTCGCCCGGGAAGAGCCGGCTGGCTGTGGCTGCCGGATCCTCCGAGGGGCCTGGGGAGAGGAGGAGGAGAGAGGAGTCCTGGCTGCCGGCTCCTCCGGCAGAAGCTCACCCTGTTCGGCCCGGTGCGGGTGAGGAGCCGTCGGAACACGTGGCCGAGAAAGGGCGCGCGAGCCGAGGGCACGAAGAAATGAGAGTAGAGGGCAAAGGGCGAGGTCCAACGGCCCAACCCCCGCCGGACTGTTGAGCCGCGGGCCTTCGCCCACTTGGCTGCAGGCGTTTGGCACCCAACGGGCTGCCATCAGTGGAGAGTGCTCAGGATCTGGCCGGGGGCGGGAGCTTCAGCAGCCGGTGTGCCAGCCCTTGCCCCTGGGGTCTCTGGAAGCATGCTCTGCCCAAAGCCAGAGGCAGCAGCAACCCAGACCCTCCCAGAGTAGGGAACTGGCTAACACGGAAAGGGGCAGGGAAGGAGGGAGTGGGCGCTGCCGTCTCCGGACTCCCCCAGGCAGCCAGGGAAACTGCTGCCCGCCTGTGCTAAGGTGGGGAGGGGACAGGAGAGCAGCTGGGGCCAAGAGCCCCCAGCTTCTTCCTTTCAGGCAGCCACCACAGAGGAGCCCGTTTACCCTCCCTCCATGCCCTGTGCAGGTAGCTCCAGGATCCTGATGCCGCCTCCTCCAAGAAGCTCTGCATCCAAGTCCTGGAGCCTGGCAGGACTTCTCTGCGGTTGTCTTGCAAAGGTATGAACGTACAGCATTGGCATCTGGGCTGTGAAGGTTTCTAACGTGGGCACCAGGTGCTCAGACTTTCTTGGATGCTGCTTCCCACAACATCCCTGCCTGGCAGGCAGGTCCTCCTCACTTCTTTCTGCATATTTGGTAAAACAGCATTTAAACCTTAGAACCTTCCTCAGCTCACACAGGTGGTAATGGCCCTGCCACGATTTGACCCAGGCTATCTGATTCCAGAGCTCTTGGATTTAACCACCGGGACTGTGGTGCCTCCTCACCACGTGTGCATAATGTATTCCTGTTTCTTACAGTCTTTAGGGGTACTTAGCACCATGCATACCTATAATGAGCGCAGACACGGCTTACTAGAAGGTCTCCTTTGGCTCAACTCATAAGTTGACCATAGGCCATGCTGGACTCCAGTCTCCTCAGAAGATTTAGGGCAGAGACTGCCAATTGTCGACATATCCCATAGGACATTTCATGTTGACCCTTGCGGCCAATCACACAGCTGTCTGTGCCAGGGCAGGAGATGGCATGTCAGGCAGGTGCAAGAGCCACCCTGGCTCAATATCCTTGTGTCCCCAAAGGCACCAGTGTGGAATTGTAGGAATTCCATAGACCAGATTTCAGGGTCCTGGCCAAAACTGACAACTTACCAATATTTACTTTTCCAGTCCACTGCATGAGATCTATCTCGGTATATTTTGATCCTTTTAACTTTCTCTCAGCAATGTTTTGTAGCAAGGGTCAGCAAATTATGGCCCATGGGCCAAATTTGGCCTATATCCTGTTTTTGTAAGGTCGCTGGGCTATTAAAGAAGAATCATGATGTTAACATCTTTAAAGGGTCATAAGAAAATTAAAAACAAGAACAAAACCCCCCAAAGAATATGTGACAGAGACCATATGTGAACTACAAAGCCTACGTACATTATTTACTCTCTGGCCCTTTCCAGAGAAAGTTTGCAACTACTGTTTTGTAGTTTTCCCTGTATAGTCCTGCTTAGCTTTTTTTTTTTTTGAGACAGAGTCTCACTGTGTTGCCAGGGCTAGAGTGCTGTGGCATCAGCCTAGCTCACAGCAACCTCAAAATCCTGGGCTCAAGCGATCCTCCTGCCTCAGCCTCCCGAGTAGCTGGGACTACAGGCATGCGCCACCATGCTCGGCTAATTTTTTCTGTATATTTTTAGTTGTCCAATTAATTTCTTTCTAATTTTTAGTAGAGACGGGGTCTCGCTCTTGCTCAGGCTGGTTTCGAACTCCTGAGCTCAAACAATCCGCCTGCCTTGGCCTCCCAGAGAGCTAGGATTACAGGCGTGAGCCACCGCGCCCGGCCCTGCTTAGCTTTTTAAAATGTATTCCTAAGTATTTTATGAGATTTTCAAATATTATTTAAGTGTGTTGTCTTTTAGTGTTCAAGAGTTCATTGGCAGTATACACAAAATGCATGAAAATGTGCATGTGTGTGTGTGTGTGTGTGTACAGTACTTGTATACACACATACATTTTGTATACTAGAACCTTGCTAAATTCACTTTTTATTGTTGGTGGTTTCTTTGCAGATGCCTTTGGGTTTTCTACATACACATAATATTTTCTGTGAATCATGGACCTCTGAATAAAGTCAGTTTTACCTCTGTTTTAATCTGCATGCCTTTTATTTTTGTTTCCTACCTTCTACATTCGCAGAGACCACCAATTGTCAGCACAGCAACACTGGGCATTTCTCTTCTCATTGAGCCTTGCAGCTGACCACACACCACCTGTACGTGGTTATCTTCCCCTAGGGGCAAGGACATGGGATGCACATCAGGTGGGTATAGGCTTTATCCTGGCTTAAAAGCCTTATGACCCATGGACACAATATCTCCTGTAATAATTTCATAGACCAGCTTTTGCATCCTGGTTGAAATTGATAATTTGCTAATATTAATTTTTCAGTCCACTATCATGATATGTGTATGTGTGTGTACATGTATGCTGTATACACACATATGTGTATATATACATGTATATCTATCTATGTGTTGGTGTGTGGTAGGATACAGAAAGAACAATTGCCTTTTTATATCGAGCTTGTATACTGGCATCTCTTCTTGTCGTTTCTTTGTATATTAGATAGTGTTTCCTACACATCCGATCATGTCTGCTAGGTGTAACGGCACTTTATTTCTTCCTTTTTAATCTGTATGATTTCATTTATTTTTCTTACCTTTTACATTTACTGTGATCTCCAGGAAAATGTTTAATATAAGTGGAGACAACGAACAACCTTTTCCAGCCCCTGATCTGAGGGGAAAAGTGTTCGGTGTGCTATTAACTGAAAGCTTTTGTAGATGTGCTTCATCATACAAAGGATGTTCCTTCCAATTCTTTCCATGCTGATTTTTTTTCAAGCCATGTTAAATTCTCTACAAAGAATAAAAAAAATAGGCAGGCATGGTGACTCATGCCTGTAGTCCCATCTACTGAGGAGGCTGAGGCAGGAGGATCGCTTGAGCCCATGCGTTTGAGGCTGCAGGGAGCTATGATTGTGACACTGCACTCCAGCCTGGGTGATAGCGTGAGACCCTGTCTCAAAAAAAAAAAGAAGACCAAAATTGTCAAGTATGTTTTCTTCAGACGTATCAGGGGTGAGCTGGCCCACAGCCAAGTCAAGAGTGATGGGGGAGGAGCACAGAGGGAGGCGGCAAAGGAGGATCACCCATCCCTTCCTCCTCTGAACTTTACTTTCTCATGGCTGCTGTCCTTTACATTTAAAACACAGAGATTTCAGATGTCAGCATGTGCAGTTGTAAAGTGTGGCTATGCCACATCCCATGCCACATCTGAACCACAGAACTTTGGAAATTTCCAGTTAAGTCTGCCTCAACACATCTCCACTCACATAAGTCAGTTCTTCTTCCGCAGTTGCGTAAAAGAGCAAAGACAGATGAGCAGAGAGGATCAATGAACAAGAACAAGGCTATGTACATACATGTTTATCAATCTTGGAAAGAAAGAAAAGGGCCCATCATGGTAAGTGGGTGAGACAGAGGTAGCAGCCACAGGCAGCAGAGGGTTCTGCTAGTCTAAGACTAGAGGAAAATTGGGACAGCCGGGTATGGCATAGTGGATACTTACTCATCTTTTTCTTCTCTCCACAGTGGAACATCGCAAGGCCAGTGTGTTGACTTGTGATCGGCCTCATCCAAAACCACACCCTCTGACACATACACAAACACCCTGAAGTATTGGGCCTCCAGCTTGCTCTCGGAGGAGAGAGGGCAGGTTAAGTTTGCTTGATATAACTGAAAAGGGCTAAGCCTCTTCCCAGTAGAGCAAGGCCCATTCGTGGCAACTGGTGGTCACCCACCATTTCTATCTAACTTTTGCTTATAGTTGCTGAGATATTGTTTCTTTCATTAGAAGAAAGTGAGTGGGTTGGTGATCCAACACTTCTATCTCCAAAGAAGCCCTGGGCATGTGTCAAAGGTGCCCCAAGGTGAAACTGCTGCTTGCCATCCTCATGCCAGAGGTACATTTGCTCTGAAAGATATCAGCAAAAGTGCTGAAGCTTAGATCTCTCCTCAGTGGTTTTCCCCACGCTAAGTCAAAGGCGAGACTCTGTCTAGAGCCCAGGTGTTCTGAATGAATGTAGGTGTAGAAATGTCTTCCTAAAAGTGTATGGTGTTCTCCTGTGAGACTATAACACATATGCCCTGTCCATGAGCACCTCAGCTGCTCTGAATGATGGTGGGAACAGAAGTATCCCATGGCACAGCCCGGTGCTGCCTCCTCCATTGTATCACCTGTGCTCTGGACTGTGTGCCCCAGGTGCTCTGGCAGTAGCGTGTCCCATCACAGATTTGGTGCCAGCCCCTCAAACAGCACAAGTAGGCTGATGGAAGGAACAGAGGTATCTCATGGCGTGCATGTCTTCTCAGTGGTGCAGGTTTCTCCAATAGTAACAGGGTTGCTCTGGCCAGGTGAGGCCCAAGTGCTCAGACCATATTAGGAAGAGAAGGCTCTCCAAACACAGTTATGGTGTTGTCCTCTCCCTTGCAGCCTATGTGCTCTGGACAAGTGGGACCCAGGTGCTCTGACTGTAGATAGGAACATAAAGGCCTCCAGGCACAGAAGCAGCGCTGGCCCCTTCTACCGCAGAGGTGTACTTTGGTCTGACGTGCCCCAGGTGTTCTGACTATAGGCAGGAAGAAAAGTTGGTATCTCCAGCACAGCTATGGTGCTGGCCTCTCCCACTGCAACAGATGTGCTCTGGCTGGAAGGGTCCTGGGTGATCTGAACACAAGGGGGAACAGATGCATCTTCTGGAACATGTTCCTGCTTAGTGATGCTGCATCTTCCAGTAGCAGTAGGTGTGTTTTGGCTGGGTGGGCACCAGCAGCAGTGACAGTAGGCAGGAAGGAAAATGTTTCGCAGGATATTTGCTTTCAGCAAGGCTGGCCTCTCTGATTGTAACAAGGATGCTATAGACCAACAGGACCCTGATGCTCAGGTCCAAGCTTCCCCTGTCAAGAGCAGTGGTTCTGGGTGTCCCCTCACCATTCTGCCCCAGAGCTGAGTGCTCTAGACATGAAGGTGACATCTGGGATATAGGCAATGACCCCAAAGCTGCCACTACCTATAAGAGCTGCAGATCCCACAAATAAAAATGGGTATGGATTAGAGTTGGCAAAAGGTGAGGACTAGTCCTCAGTGCTGTGCATGCTGGTGGCATTCAGTGGCAAGAAAGAGTGGCCGCACCAATGGGGAAAACGACCAAGGCACCACCATAAGCTGGCTGGATGTTGACAGGGATGTCAAAGGTGTACATAGGGGTGTCAAATTCCCAAAAGCTGACTGAGGTGCGTTGCCATTGGGTTCTGTGGCTGCAGGAGAGGTTAAGTATGAAGGGTTTTTAGGGGCTGCCAGGTTTCTCAAAGGGAAAGAGCTGTTAAAGCTGGGGGAGGGACTGGGGAATGGGCATGGTATCCATATTGATCTCATCAGAGTCAAATGCAGGCTTGGATACCAAGTCTGGGGAGGGGCTGCCTACTGGGGTGGAGGCAACTGCAGAATCAGTGCTAGGTGGGCCAGAAGAGAGGGGGCATTGTGGAGAGTGGCTCCCTGTGGAGGCCCATTAGGACCCCCAGATTTCAGCTGACAGGTGTTTCCTGCCTCAAAGGGAAAGTTGAAAGTTCAGGTAGGGCTGCTGACCACAAAAGCAGGTGGGCTGGTGGAGACTGCAGCCTTCGCAGGGGGTTTCCGCTCCACACTAGGATGGGCCCGGTTAAACGGGAGGAAGCTCACACTGGATCCTGGTGGAGACCTGAAGATGGAAGCCTGGAAGGCAGAGTGGTGTCCGCATTGGTTACAACAAAGTCCAAAGCGGGCTGGGAAGTCCAGTCTGCAGGCAGGCTGACTGGGGTGGTAGAAGTGGTTGCAGAAGCAGTGATGGGTTGGCTTGTGAACACAGGGTACTGGTGGAAGCGACTTGAGGAGAGGTCTGCAAGAAAAACAGGAGAATCCACACATACGTGTGTAGGTGACTCTATATAGGTGTACACGACCTGCACAGGAGGTAGGCTTTAAGGAGAGGGAGAAAGTTCTAGGATGTGTGGGCAAGGCAGAAATAGAAGATGCTGCAATTATGACTGAGGGACTAGAATGCAAAGGGTCTCTATTCTCATTATTTAGTGAAATACTACTTAATAGGGCGCCTCTTCTCATGATTATGTGGAACACTAGTGTAGGTTGGAATCCAAAGTGAGAAACAGCAGGAACAGCAAAAGGAGAGTCAGGACCTGCGCATCTCATTTCATGGTCAATGTGCGGTGTAGGGGCAGGTACAGGAGCAGATAGCATGGGTGGCCTGACAGGGCAGCTAAGTTAGTGACTGCATTTGGTAGTATCCGGAACCTGCAAGGAGGAAGTGGCCAGTGGCAAAGTATCTGCAGTCCCCACAGCAGGCAGAGGGAAACAACAGTCAGGCTGAGCGACCCTGCTGTCTGAAGGGGCCTCAGTTTTATCCTCCACCACCCTGGGGTTCCATTGGCATTCAGAGTTCTTCAAGCCCTTTAGCAATCCCTGCACAAGGAAGGGAGGAGGTGGGGGCAGCTCTCCTCCATCCCACAACGGTGGCAGTACCAGCAGCAGTGGCATTGAAAACTTCTGTTTACAGAGCCTACAACTGGCAGACGTGAGTGGAGAGTTTCTCTTTGACAGAGTATCTGAAAGCGTTCCTGTCTGAGTCACCTTCTTTGACTTCCATGAGGCTGGAAAGCTGAGTTAATGGCCTTCATCAAGCTCTTCCTTTCTCAACCTCTCTGGCAGCAGGAAGTGAAACGCGGTCGGCCAGACAGCCTGCTGCACCTGCTGCGCTCTTGGAAGGATCCCTCCTCCAAAGAGGCCGGAAGCCCCCAGCATGCAGAGCTGGGCTGGGGATGGTGTGACCATTGGTGACTGATCTCACAGAACATGTCTGTGATATCCTTACCCAAGCTATTTTGTGGGTCCCTGGAATAGAGGTTTCTGTTCAGAGGCCCAGGACTGCTCCCAGATGTGTGATGACTCCATTGGTCATGAGGGGCCTGGATGCTGATGGTATATTTGGGGGCATCTTTTCTGACAGTCCTGCCTTTTGGGCACTATTTAAGCATCTTCCTCCTTCAGTATCCCTTTCCTTTGTGCTCCTAGCATCATCATCCCAGTCTCTGTTAAGCAAGGATCTGGAGGGTGCTTGGCTGGCCCCGGCCTCATAGAGCTAGGACTGCTTGATCAGGTGACAAAGGAGGAGAGTTAATTTGTGCCTTGGCGGAGGGATCTTCACTCTTCCTGAGTGGCCACACACTTTGAGGTACAAGCAGACAGCAGTGTCTTCTTCCGAGTCCACCCAGAACCCCATAGAGCAGCACCGGGGCTGCCTGATGGAGCACCACCACCTCCCAGGAGTGTACCCCACCAGGGTTAATGCATCGGATCCAAGGAGAACCGCCAGGGGAAAGGCCAGAGAGAGGCGCAGGGGCCGTAGGAGGATCCCAGCCAGAAGGGCACACAGCAGGTCAGGTTGGAGGGGTGTGCAACAGTGCGGCAGGGGGCTGGGGCAGGGTGGGGGTGAAGCTTGCTGACGAAGTTGCCTGTAAAGGGCGGTTTGTGTGCTGTCGGATCCTGGGAGTGTGGTGCAAAATCTGGAGAGGTCTCCTAGCTACGTGTTCAGCCTGATGCATGTGCCACATCGTTGGAACATGTGACCGAGAAAAAGCGCGCCAGCTAAGGGCATACCAGTGCAGAGCATGAGGAAAAAGCTCCAAAGGTTAAAGGGCGAGGCCCAGAAGCTAAGCCCCAGCAAGACTCCAGCGCTTCCTGATTTTCCTACTGCCGGTTTGCAGGTGTTGGGCATCAGACGGTCCTCGCGGTGCAGCGGGACTGTTGAAGACTGTGAGTTTTGAGAGCCTGCATAACTGTCACTCCCAGGGCTCCATGTCTGCAGGCACCTCGGCACCGCAGGGCGAGTTTACCTCAGCCTCTTCCTCTCAGGCAACCACCAGACGACACCACTTAACCCCCACAGCTGTCCCCACCTCCTCCATGCTGGCAGGTCAAGGCTTGGAACTTCTCCAGGGACTTCTCTAGCTCCTCTTCAATTCCTGGACCCAGGTGTAGCTTTTTTGTGGTCACCCTGGAAAGGCCAGTGTCCCAAGTGTCACCAGCTGGACGACCAAGGTTTCCAAGGTAGAGATACGGCTATTGCACAAAACACACCCTTTCCTGGGAGGCAGTTTATCTTCACTTATTTTTACGAATTGAGTAAGGCAGCGTTTAAGCCTTAGAACCTTCCTTGGGTCACACATGTGGTACCGGCCCACTCAGAATTTGAACCCAGGCTGTCTGATTCCAGAGCTCATGCATTTAGTTACCCACCAGACTGCGGCGCCTCCGCATCACGCCGTCACCATACATTACCATTTTCTGATAGATACTCCTTGGGGTGCTTAGTACGATGATGCACCCACAGTGAACGCAGGCACTGCCCACTTGGAGGCCTTCTTTGGTTCAATTCATACATCAATCATTGATCACGCTGAGCTCCAATTTCATCAAAAGATGTAGGCGCGGAACCGCGAATCGCCAGCACGTTCCTGTCGGGCATTGATCTTCGGCAGGAGCCGCGCAGCAGACCGTGCGGCTGTGGGTGACCCCCAGGTGCAGGGACACCAGATGTGCTCAGGCGGACACAGGATCCAGCCCGGCCTACAAGCATCATGCCCCAGGGGCACCAAGATCTCCCAGAACTCCAAAAACCAGCTTTCCGTGTCCTGCTCGGAATTAACAACTACCAAGATTAATTTCCAGTCCATGAGTACGGTCCAACTTTTCCTATACATAGGTCTTTTAAAAAACTTTTCTCTCAGACACTGTTTTGTAGCAGGGTTCCACAGATATAGCCCATGGGCTAAATCTGGCCTGTCCTTGTAATGCCAATGAGATTAGAATGGTGTTAACATTTTCAAAAGGTTGTAAAAACAAAACAGAAAAACAGAAGAATGTGATAGAGACCGTTTGTAAACTGGAAAGCCTGTATTTCCTATCTGGTCTTTTACAGTAAAAATTTGCCAAACCCCATTCTGTAGTTTTTGGTGCATAGGTTTTGTACAGCATTTGCTAAATTATTCCTATGTATTTTATGAGTTTTTTTATGCTATTTTAAATGGTATCTTTTAAATTTTAGTTTTCAGTTGTTTACTGGTAGTATATAGAATATACAATTGGTTTTTATATATTGACCTTATATGCTGGAACATCGTTCAATCCAGTCTCCATTTCTGGTAGTTTCTTATTAGATTTCTTAGGATTTTCTACATACATATTTATGTTTCCTATGAATAAAGAAGAGTAAAACTCTTTCTGTTTAACACATATGCTGTTTTTTCTTTTTCTTACCTTCACATTTGTGCTGACCTCCAGCAAAATGTTGAATTCGAGTGGAGACAACAGACACACTTCCCAGGTTCCGTATCTTAGGGGAAGGTATCCAGTGTGCTAACTGAAGGGTTTTTGTGGATGCGCTTTATCACGTAAAGGACATTCCCTCCAATTCCTATTTTGCTAAGAGATTTTTTGAAAGGGGTATTGAATTTTGTCAATTACTTTGTACACAGATTTGAGATAATTATATGGCTTTTATCCTTCTCTTAATAAGGTGAATTATGTTGATTTTTTTAATGTTAAATCAACCTCGCCTTCCTGGGACCCCACCCAAGAGGTGGTCATGTTAGATCATATGTAATTATTATATCTTTTTGATAAACTGACCCTTTTATCAGTATATAATGTCCTTCTTAAAACAGTTTTTTCTCGTTCATTTTATTTAAGTTTTTTTTTATTTCAATAGATTTAGAGGGTACAAGCTGAATTTTGTTACATGTATATATTGTACATTGGGGGAGTCTGGGCTTTGGGTGTACCCATCCCTTGAGTAGTGTACCTGCCTACCTTGGGGCGTGCTGCCAGGCCTCAGCATTTTTTATCAACTGGATAGGAAAAGGCAGCAGAGTTATACCCTTTCTGCTAAAACTGCTTTTCATTTAGGCTAGCATACCTGGAGGAAGAGTCAGTCTGCTGGGACACCGCCCTGCTCTGAGCCCCTCCTGGATGCCTTGCCCATTGGTTTTTCATTCCATGGCCATTCCCTGGCAAGATCACAAATCTACTCCACTTTACTAAGGAGCCTCGTTCCTTATTCTGGTCCCTCCTATGTCAGGACAAGCTGAGACCATTGACCTCATCCATCCTGAGGGATGTTAGGAGCACACAGTGACGAGCTCAAGGTGGTGG